CCCCCCCCCTCCCCCCCCCCCCTTCCGCTCATGCTAGGTTCATGGCCGCCCAGTCAGGACGAACCGGCGTTGCCATCGAGCTCATCAAGAGCGGCGCATACACGGGGCCCCAGGGGAGGCACCGCTGGACCCCCCTCATGCAGAGCGCCCACAGGGGCTACCTGGAGATCGCCAAGGCTCTCCTCGAGCACCAGTGTCCCCCGGACTCGCGCAACGAGCAGGGCTGCACCGCCCTCCACCTCGCCGCCTCGGCCAACCAGGCCGGCCTCATGAAGCTCCTGCTCGACTACGGCGCGGACCGCGACCTGGAGACGGTCGAGGGGGCCACGCCGCTGCAGTGGGCGGTCAAAGAGAGCCAGATGGAGGCGGCCGTTCTCCTGACAACCTACAGGCCGTCCCCCGTGCGGCGGCCCCCGGACAGCCTGCACCTCTGCGTCCTCCGAAACGACTTCGGGGCCGCGCGAGACTTGCTCAGCAGGGGGGCTCCGCCAGATCACGCTGACAGAGACGGGGTTACCCCCCTCCAGAGCGCGGTCCTTATCGCGTCGCCGAGGATGGTCGAGGTTATGCTGCGCGGGGGCGCCGACGAATCGGCAGCGCTGCCAGCGGCCCGCGCGGGGGGCAAGGCCGGCGTGACCCCGCTGGCCCTGTCCTCCGCGAGACTGTCGGGACGACGGCAGGAGTGCGCCGACGCCCGTGTCGCGAGGGCCAGGGTGCGCGTGCGGGACGCCCTGCTGAGGGTGGGCGCGGTTCGCGCGGGGTGTTGGCGGTGGCCGGAGCTGCTGGAGGTGCTGCCCGTAGCGAGCGGTGAAGAGGTGGCGACGGGGAGCGCGTTATCGTCGGCGGGAAGAGCGGTCCAGGGAAAGAAGGGGGTCGGTTCTGGTGATGGTTTGGGGGCGTCTTTGGGCAGGGGGAGAGTACCGGGCGCTGGGCTGGTTCGGCTTGGGAACCGTGACAGAAGCAAGAGAGTAGCGCTGATGACGAAGGCGGCGTTGAACAGGTGAGCCTTTTCCGTGTTGGCTGCCACGATGTCGTTGATTGCTTCGCGGGTTTGCACTTGTGCCCTGTCGTTCTTGTTTCGATCTTTCATGCGCCCCTCTCAACTTGATTGGTTGTGTTGTGCTTGATGTATTGCACCGTCGGCGCTTTGGCCAGGCACGGGTTTGCGGACGCTCTATCTTGTCACCAGCCCTGCGCAACCTTCTCTTGCGATGCTATTTTGCTTCTAGAAAACATTCGCGCGGACAATGTTAATAGTAAGTACAAACACAACACGGTACACAATTTGCTTGTGTGGGCGCGACAGAGGGACGCTCCGCCCCTCCGCCCGCGCACCCCCCTGCGTATATTTGGTGGAGACAGGGATTTGCGTCATGAGGGCAGGCTTTTTTTTTTCCTTGCGTTTTGTTCGTTGCTTCCACTCTACCAGATACGTCTCTAGGTCCGTGTGCAAGAGTGACTTGGAGGGATGAGGCGCGCTCGCACCCCTTGTCCGGGGACAGGTAGCTCCCATCGGCGTCGGCGGCGAAAGCCGTCAAACAATGAGCGTGGCGGGGTGTGGGGCAAGCAAGGGCCAGCCCTGCAAACACCAGATTCCTTCGTGTTTGCGTAGGTAGGTGAGGGCGTGTTGAAGCTAGCGGCACCGTTGCTGATCGAAAGCTGTGGTCTGAACAATTATTGAAAAGACTGTCGGCAGGTAGGTGCTTGTTTGTTTTTTCTTTCGGACCTTGGAGCTTGGGGGATAACGCGTTAGTGGGCCGCGCTTTTTGTCTGTGTAGGTTCGCTCTATTCCTATAATAGCTAGCTGCTGCTCAAGCTCCCTCGCTAATTCCACGGGCCACAACGACCCACAACGTCCACCAAGGCGTGTATCGCAAGCGTGGGTCTCATGGTTGAACCTCATATATCTACGTCTTTGCTACTTGAGGCCGTCGATCGGTCGGCGGTTATGCTGTGCATCTGTTGTTCCTTTTGGTGGCCCATCGTTTGGGCCGGACTCCGTTGGCTGTGATGTTCTTGAGCTGCACTCGGCAGTGCCAAGTATTTTAAGAGTGAAATGATAAGGTATCCTTTCTTGTCAAAGTTGGTATTAAGAATGTCGGCCGTGTTAACTAAATCAGTGACGATTGTTTTTGTGTCGTGCGGGATAAGCGTCAAGATGTACCACATGTGGCGTACGCAAACAACGACGTTGGCGTGGAAGCATGCTGGAACACGATTGCTCGAAAAGCCACAGCACCACCCGAATGACAACAGTATTCGATTGTTGAGGGTTTCGAATGCGTCGGATGTTTGCAGGGAGGTTCTCGCCCCACCAGTTGCAGGAATCTTGTAGAATTCGATGAGTAATCCAAGTCCGAGCCATGGCTTCCTGGTCTGCGGGCGCTTTCGTGCGCATGTGTGTCTCTAGAGCTCATGGTTTTGGATTGATTTTTGCGATTACAGGTGCTTTTTTTGTTGTGTTGCGTTGTGGCGGTTGCCATTCATGTACCTGCGGTATTCTCGACTGTTGGTCTTGCTATTGGTCCATATGCGCGCACTATAGGGTCACCGCAACATGTTTCGTCGGGGGGGCTATTTCCGGAACAACGGCACCATCGGAGACTATTTCTGCTCTACATGGTAGCAATGCTGATGCTCGACAGTTTCGTCGATCCCCATGCCGTGGTGCATACACTTGTAGGCTATTAACACTGTAGACTATGTGCTTTTATCGTGGCAGTTGATGCGTAACGCGAACCGAGGAGGAGGAGTGGTTGTTATGGAAGGAAAAGAAGGATGGTCTCTGTTGACCCGTCATTTGCTGACTTGACAGCAATCAGTGTTGCGTGTTTTTTTTGTTTTGTTTGCACGCGAGGAAGTGGAGAACGCACCAGACTTGAATGTGAAGGCCTCGGCGACAGGAAGGAAGGAAGGAGGGAAGCCTTTGGTGTGACACTGGCTGACATGACCTCTCTAGCGAGAGCTTTTTTAAGACTGACTCAATAAGAGATAAGAGTACCGTTGTCAGCCGAGCGTGTTTCTAGCCTTCTAGCCTAAGATGTTCCTATCATCTTCAGAACAGTAACACCCAGTCCGGCCGAGGGGTGTAGATGTGTATGTGGACGGTCCGCGACAAGATCGACGCTTTCGCGGCTCTCGCCACTATCTCTCAATTCGTGTAGAGTGTTCTTAGCCCGGCACTCACTCCTAAATGAGACCAGTAGCCTTGACCTTCAGCGTATTGGGTCAATTGTGCCCAATAAAAGGGTGCTTGCTTGCAACAATATTTTGGTAGCTCGTAACATGGCACATCTCATCTCTCTTCTATGACTCGCAATCTCAGGCAGCAGCCCTTGTGTTTTGTTCATGTACTAGGGCATTGAAAGCCCTACCCGCCCACAGCAATGGGCGGCGGAGCCCGACTGGCAAGGCAAAGGAGGGTAGGAGTGCAATGTACGGAGAGGTAGAGAGAGAGGAGGGGCGGGGGGACACGAAGAGTGAAGTGCTGTGAGGTACGTAGGAGGGACTTGGCGTACTCATCTTTATTTAATGTGTCGTCTTGTATGACTTGGTATGCCCATGAGTTCGGACGCAAGGCTTGGCATTGTCCCCGTCAGTCGTGTGGCGAACGCATAGATAGGTTCGTTTTCGTTTGCACGTTTTAGTTCATGTGCCCTCTTGTAAAGCGTAGCGTTGTGGGTGCAGAAACAGAACAGTCCCGTTCATATTATATCGAGTTCTCCTCCTTTCGCTGCTAGAACAACGTCTGTCTTGCGTCCATCGGGGGTCCCTCCCCGCTTCCATTCTCAAGCCTGAAGGAACTCATCGTACAACAGGAGACTGCGGCTGCTGCTGTAGACTACTTGTAGAGTATGTATGCATAGCAACGCCGATGATATCGTATCGTCTCCTACAAAACGAAAATTGCTTAATTTCTTGAGATTGTATGGATTAATTAAATTTGCCAGAGCTGTGGCAAGTGTGAGAGGATTCGTAGAAGAACAGGGGAGATGTCCATATGCTGTCTGGGAAACTGTAGACATACAGGTACTTTCTGACGCTATGAATTCATTGGTAATCTGTCTCAGACTCTTTTCTATAGATAGAGATGGATTCGTTGGTCATATTAAGAAACAAAAAAAAAAAGAACTGTTCCTCCGTACACGATTGATTTCGCTCATACAGAAGCCGGGCTGCACTGACTGGGGCTATTCGTTGTTTTTTGCTGTTGTTGATAAAGGAGTTTTTCACCGCAAGTTGTAACGAAGAGTGGGCGGCCTGTGTGTGGGTTGTAGGGGACAGACTTCTATCCGTGAGCTTTCCCGCCTTGAGTTCGGTTCCTCCAACGTTGGCGATTTTTGCACATGGTCAAACAGCGTCGCCGCAAGGCGCTTGCGCCCGAAAATATATAATCTTGCCTCCATATATATATATATATATCGTCTCCCCAAAACCAAAAACATTCCCCAAACCAAAAACAATTAATTAATTAAATGAACTCACCCCATATGTATATGTACTTGAACCCTACCCGCACTACAACTAACTATTATCAAGTCCAGCTGGTTTCGCCACGGATCAAGTAAGACCCATGTTTATGGTCGCCAAATCTTTGCGAAAATGTTAATATTTTCAAACATTTGCGGACAAAGATTTTGTTTCACTGTTTATGGGAGAAAATCTTCGCCAAAATATTCTCAAACATTTTGAAATGGGGCAAAAGTCGCTCGTTTGACAAAATATTCTCAAACATTTTGAAATGGGGCAGGTCGCGAAAATGTTTCCCAAGAGCGGCGAGATTAGTAGCCGACCGCCCCTTCCGTCCTAAACACCAACCACTGCGCAGCGCACACTCAACGTAGCAAGCTCATAGAGGGATCCGGGCAACCCTAGAGTCACCGTGTCAATGTTTTGGCCGGCTGATACATGGCGGGA